GTCACTTCCACTCTTTCCTTCTGATGGGACATCGGCAGCCCCTGAGATGGGGCTGGGGGTCGGGAGGTGCAAAGAACACAAGGGACGCCATGCCCAGGTCCCAGCTCGTGCTCAAGTGGCCGGCTCGGTGCTCACGAGGCCTGGCGACGGAATGACCGCTGAGGAACAGCCACACACCCTCCATCGGCAAAGAAACCCACCCACCGAGCCAACCTGGGCAGAGCGGAGGTGAGGAAAGAGAAGGTGCACGTGTGCAGCCTTCAGAGCGAGGAAGGGATGCCTGGCAAGAAGCCCGCGCAGCGGCACGCTCGTAACTCAGTTGACGTTAAGGACTCTTCCAGTCTGAAGTTGCCACTGTCCGAGCTGAAAGGTAAACACTCCACAACAGGTACCGTCCGACTCTTTTCTTAAGGTTCAAAGGATGAGAGAATCGGTTATTCAGGAACTAAAATTGAAGAACAGCTCCATTTGATTTTCTCCTTTTCAGGAACCGTCGGTGAGGGCCATGGGAAGCATCTTCCACGAAGCCACCATCATCTCTTAAAACAACGTAAGCTTCAAGCCAAAAGTGACCTTAGGAGGCGGTTCTGCCAAACAAGACTTGGATGCGCTTTTCCAGAACTCCCTGGGCTAATTGGTGAAGGGCCTCCCGGGCAGAACACAGCCAACACGCCGGCTTTCTGTGCTGACTGGGAGCCTCCCCCAAGGACCCGTCGCCTTGAACCCACCATTCCTGCAGTCCGTCCTTAACGCGCTTGCTCTTGAGGAGTGGCTTTGTGCAGAAGTCTGCTGACAAGCCCTGGAGGGACGCCCCTCGAGGAAGCAGCTCCCACACCCTGACCCTGTGACCCCATCCCCTTGGGATGGGGCCTCCGGTAGGAGCCCACCGGGGACCACACGGCCCTGCCAGGCTCGCCTCGGGATGGACCTCAGTACAAGCAGGGATGTGCGCGGCAGTAAACATCAGAGTCAAACCTTTCGTGTTACTCTCACAATTGGAGCTTCCGAGAACAAGGGGGAAACTCAAGCACGAGAGCATTTTACCCGAAGACCTCGTCCCCTTCCCAGACGTGACTTGAGACATAAACGGCCACAGCGCGGCCGCACAGACACAAGTGCCTCGACCTTGGCTGTGAAACAGTCGACATGGCCCCGCACCTCTGCTTGGGAGCCCCCCTCCCCCACCCCCCACTCCGGGCGCGTGCAGGACTCGGGCCCCAGTCCCACCCGCCCCCTCCCAGGTGCCCTCGCGCCCTACATGACAAAGAGCTTTGGAAACAGCCAGTTCTACGCCTTCTGCGTGTCCCTGCACTCTGGTGACCTGGAGAGACGGAGCCTTGGCCCCAGGGCGCAGCTCTAACGACAAGCGGGCATTTACAGAACCAGAGAGGGTCTGGAGGGGGTCTGTGGGAGCCTGAATCACAACGCCGGGAACTCGGGGTGGCCTCACGCCTGAGCAGGTCACAGCTCACCCCAGGTCTCCTCGGACCCCCGAGAGCCCTTGCTCCATGACACCAGTTTCCCGGGCAGCCACCAGGGCTCCGGCAGCAGGACCCGCACTCACCTGTCTCCCCGGGCCCTTCCATCTCAAAGGCTCCCTTCAGGGCCCCGGGGCAGCGCAGCGCTTTGTGGACGTCTTCTTGGGGCTGGTTTCAGCACTGCTCCTGTGGAGAAAGTGAAACGGGGCCCTGAGTCTTTCCATTCAGCAAAGAGCAAAGCGGTGGCTTCTGCACAGAAGGCAGCTTTGTCTGGGGATGAATTAAAACACACAGAGCTCGCTCGCCAAGTGAACACAGCTTTCAATGTGAATCCTGTGCCCACGTGTCTCTGAGATCAGACAGAGCCACGCTCAGGGTGACCCGGCAGGAAATGTTCCAAACGTCCTCTCCTGAAATTTGACCACGTACAAGACGGCCAAGGTGCGGGTGCAGAACCCATGCAAGTCCACCACCTGCGAGTCGCGAAGCTCCCTGGGCCGCAACGAGCTCGTTCAAGCAGCAGCCATCCCCCAAGCCGAGACCACTGGACTCGTGTAAAGAGGTGTTAACCACCTGGAGGGCCTCCGCAGAAATTATATGCACAGTGTACAAGGCTTTGTTGTCCAACACATCCAGGGGCCAGAGAGCCGTTAAGTGGTGGATCACCCGAACGTTTCATTTACGTGAAGTGCACGCCAGTGTCCACACCATCACAGGCCCACGGCCTCAGAGGTGGAACGCGCCGGGTGGCCACATTCTGCAAGCCACGTGCTCAGCCATCCTCTGTGTCTTCACCTTCTCTCGCATCTTCAAGTCCCAGAGTGTTTATGGCTCCAACAACTCACTACACCACCAAACAAAGCACCAGCGATAGTGAAGCCCTCGTTCCTGCACCACGGCGGGAGCAAAACCCACTTCTGTGTCACCCCAGCCTGTCCCAACTCACACCTGGGCTCTTCCTGGCATTGGCTGGAGACGGTGCCACTGACCCACACCAGGTCATCCCACCGTGTCACCCCCACGACCAGCTCAGCTCACCGTCAGCTGGACAAAAGTCGCGTCCAGGCTCCCCTCTGGTGGGACCAACGGACATCTACACCCCTATGAAAGGTCTGGGAGCTCCCAGAGAGCCATCTCAGCGGCTGAGACACAGTTCCCCCGGAATGAAAAGATGCGATGATGGAGAACCCTGAACAGGCTGCGGAGAAAGCTCAGCTCCAGGGTGGGATCTTCGGCAGGCAGCTGCGGGGCTCCGGAAAATCGGTGCCTGGGCTCCCCGCTGCTGATGGGGCAGCTGGAGGACAGACTCTCCCAGGAGACCTGCGCTCCAAAGTCCCTTGGCTCCCAAGCGAGGGCCACGGAGGTTCCCCGCAGGCCCCACACACAGGCAGTCCCTGGAAGGAGAGCGACTTCCCAGAGAAAGCGGATGACCCTTTCTCTGCTCATACTGAACGGCCAGTTCTATCACTGAAATGTGCTTCAGCCACCAGCATTGAAGAGGCTGTGCTAACTGGCCCCTGAGCTGAGGGCTGGGGACTGGCCACGGCACCAATGTCTTGCCATCCTGAAAGGTTTGGTAAAAGGCCAAATAGCACATCTTTTATTAGAAACGGAGCATCATATAATAATGATTTGTGTCTGTGAACAGCCTGTGCCTCACCTCCTCATCCTTCATTTAAACAGCATTTTTATCAGATGTGGAGAAAAATGTATCATTAAATATGTAGTCACAACACCCTAAAATATGTTACGACCCATACAAACTGGCGCAGCACGTAGAAAGAACAAATTAAGTACACAGAGGAAAAACAGTAGTTTTAACCACATTTAGTGATTCTGTAGTAGTGCTGACAGAAAGTAATGAAGGTTTAAAGGACTCAGATGACCCTCCCAAAGGATCCACGGCATGGAAGTGAGTTCATGTTTTCTTATCAGAGAGACAGATTTTCCTTGCTTCCACCTTCTTCTTTCCACTCTGAACTATACATTCTATACATTTGTCACATATTATTTTTCCAAATCCCTTTGAAATAACCTCATGTCTTCACGTGCAGCATTCACGCTCACCCCTGCATAGACGATGGGGTTTCAGTAGCTGACAGGTCAGCATGGAACTCAAGGCCACACCTAAGAATCCTGGAACAGCTGCAGGACCCTCAGAGGTTCCCCAAAGTTAAAAGCGACCCCTGCACAGAAAAACGACACCTGGACATCAGTCACTGGGGGGATCCCAGTCTGAACCCATGGTCTTCTGGAACAGTGTGCCAGAGCTCCCAGAGACGCCCGGAGGACACTCACACACCACCTGTAGACTTTCCAAGGACGGAATCGCTCCCAGCACAGGGCAGGGCCCTGTCCCGGTGCCAGCGGGTTACCTGAGGGTCTGCCCGAATCTGAGTCTGGAATCCTACGGGGATTCCCACATCCGGCTCTGCACTTCATCTGGACACACTGTCCTCTGGCTTTAGCTCAGCTTCACCAGGCGGTCAGCTCTGCCTCTGAACTGCCCCCAGAAGACACCCACGCCCAGATCCTGAGAACTTGAAATGGCAAGAAGAACTCCATGGATGACTGAACTAAGGGCCTGGAGAGGGGAGACTATCCTTGATGGTTCAGATGGGCTCTCGCTGTCAGAGCGGCAGAGGGCAATTTGACAGAAGGAGGGCCCTGCGAGAGGGAGCAGGGGCGGGAGGGACACGGCCACCAGGAGCTGGACGGGATGGGCCCAAGAAAGCGGGCCCCGCCAACCCCCGATTTCCACCCAGTAATACTGACTTTGGCCTTCTGGCCTCCAGAACTGTTAAAAATGGTTTTTCTTTCTTTTTTTTTTTTAATTATTGATGTATAGTCAGTTACTATGTGTCCATTTCTGGTGTACATAATGTCCCCAAAATAGATTAAAAAACAAGTTTCTTCTGTAGAGCACAGGGAACTACATTCAATATCTTGTAATGACCTTTAATGAACAAGAGTATGAAAACGAATACATGTAAAACGTTTTTAAGCCGCCAGGTTTGTGGTAATTGTTACAGCAGCTGCAGGAACCTAATGCAGTTTTCAGCTGGACTTCCCATTGTTCTGCACTGACTGTGACCTCGGAGAAGAAGCTTTGGTGTTAGACACCCCTAAGAGAGCTGCAGACGCGAAGGACTGCGCTCAGAGCGGTCCTGCTGGGGAGACACATCCATTTTCATGGGCAGGAAGGAGTCATTCAGCTTGTTAATTACAGGAAAATGCAATCAGGGCTCCTTTATATGCAGATAGAGTTGGTGTCTCCATGCTAACTAGCCAAAGCTAACAAATCAATTAAATTCTGTTTCTAATCCACTGAACAGGTATCATTATGCTATTTATTATTTGTCTGTTCAGACCAAATCCTGATTACAAGTCTTAGAGGAGACTTTTCAGATAAACACGTTATCTAAAAATTGGAAGTTTTGTGGTTGCCGGGGGGAGGTGGGTGGGAAGAGACAGACTGGGAGTTCGAGATTTGTAGATACTGACAGGTGTATATAGAACAGATAAACAGGTTTATACTGTACAGCACAGGGAAATACAGTCAAGATCTTGTGGTAGCTCACGGGGAAAAAGAACATGAAAACTAATATATGTATATTCATGTTTGACTGAAAACTTGTGCTGTACACCAGAAATTGACACAGCATTGTAAACCGACTATAACTCAATAAAAATAAATTTAAAAATTTTTTTAAATTAAAGAAAATAAAAACTGGAAGTTCAAGATTTGCAGATACTACTATATATAAAACAGATAAACAATAAGTTTCCACTGTCCGGCACGGGGAACTAACTATATTCAATATCTCGTAGTAACTTAAAATGAAAAAGAATATGAAAAGGAATGTATGTATGTATATGGATGACTGAGACATGATGCCTAGAAACGGACACAACACTGTAAACTAACTATGTTTCAGTTAAAAATTTAAAAATAAATAAATGTAAAGACAAAGGCAGTAAAAATGAGCCCGCTCTGCTACGAACTGAGAGCAGAGTGCCCGCAGGGCGCCTGCGGGAAAAGCTGGGCGGGGGAGGGGTGCGGCCCGCCCCCGATGGGACCGCCCCCTCCTGCTGGCTCCGCCCCTCCCGAGGAAGAGGTCAGCGGGGTGGCCCTAAGGCAGGGGCCGGAGCCCCGGGCTGACATCCGCAGGGCCGCCTGCCACGCAGAAGCCCGGCGCGCGGCACCTGGAGTGAGACGAAACAAACTTGCAGAACGTACTTCCCCCGGGCCCCCCGGTCGCGCGGGGAGGACACCGCGTGCTGCAGGCTGAGCGAGGCGCGCGCAGAGGCTGAGAAGGCGCGCGCTGGGCCGAAACATCCCGGTTTCCCAGCCCGCAGCGCCCTCTCGTGCTGCGAAAGCGGCATCGTGCCTTCGTTGTTAACCGCAGGGTTTCCACCTCTTCAAGTGTCTCTGTCTTTTGCTTGGGCCTTTTCTAGACACAGAGCGGGAGCAGCAGAGGCCCTGGGAGGACGGCGAGGGGCGGCAGCAGGCGACCCAGGGACTCGGCCCGGGGTGCGTCGCGCAGCGTCTGAAATCCAGGCAGTGTAACAAGAGGAGGAAAACTCTGCCCTGGGCAGCGCGACGTCGGAAGCAAAGACGTTTAGGAGGGGTCTCAGATCAGTGGCCTCACAGCTTTCCAGCCTGCTGCACAGACGGGCAGGGCCACAGCCCCAGAGCAGCAGCTGACCCTCTGCCCTCGGGCACCCCAACCGCAGCTTCCCGTCCCACTCCTGTAAAATTCAGAAAGGAGCACGTCCTGGGGCCACTGGGGGTTGAGTGAGGCGGTCCGTGTGCTCACTGCCAAGAAGCAGCCTCCGAGGGGGACGGGCCCCGGGGAAGCTGAGGGGGGACCCTGGAGCACCTGTGGGGGGCCTGGAGCCCCTGAGAAGAGGGGCCACGGGCTGTGGGAAGTGAGAAGCTGAGCTGGGGTGGGGACGCACCCCTCCCTGCCCCCCAAGACCTGTCCGGGGTACTGGGGCTCAGAAACGTTGGCTAAGGGTAGAGTACGGAGTGGCCTACTAAGCAGAGGGGCCTCAGGGCGCCGGCTGCAAGCCCCTCGCCTGGCCGGCACGACTCACGTTCACAGAGGAGTTTGGGATTTCCTGTCTGTTTCACCGGAAGGAAGTTACTTTCATTCAAGATTAAAAGTGAAATTTTGTTATAATGGGTAATGTCAGAAACAAGATCATGGCTAGATCATTTTCCCCCGAATACAGT